TTTTTACATCCCTCTTATTACCACTATATTTTAGATCTATATACATATATATATATATATATATATATTTTTTTTTTATATATATATTTATTCATTTAAATTTGTTGTGTGTGTGTATAGAAATCATTTCTCTAAAGAGAAAGAAATAGAGAGTCTGTGGACACAGCCAGAGACTTTAACACAAATGTAGTTCAAACAGGAATAAGACAACCAGTCATTTCCATAGATCATGTTCTAACACACTGAGCTAAAGTGAGTAATTATAGACAAACAAAACAGGAGTGAATTCCTCCAGTGGTCTGTTCTGTAAGAGGATCCCCGGGCAGACGGAAGCAGCTCCTCTCAGACGAGTGTCCGGTTCCCCCCCCCCGGATCACATTTCCTCATGAAACATTCACAGGAAAACTTTCTTGGGAGGGGTAACACGCCCCCGTCTGTAGAGGAAGAGGAAGCTGTGGGAAAAGACTCAAAGAGAAAGCCTCCCCCCCACACATGACCCCCACTAGAACCAGAAGAAACACATTTAACCCTATAAAGCCAAATGTGTCATATCTGATCGGGTTTCTTTTGGATGTGAGACTTTCTGCATCATTCAGTGGTAAAAGCTTTGCTCAAACCCCTGTTGTACACATTCAGATATACCTGATAACAGCCAGTAGAAGACCACACCAACATAGATTTCTGACTTATTGCACGCTAATTTGATCAAAATCATTTCTGTTTTTTTCTTCATATGTTGTTGAGGGGCCAAAGAAAGACTTCAGACTAAAAAAATCCAATATTCTTCCTATTTTTCCTGGATCAGGCTTTAAAGGGTTAAGCTTATTTTTCTGGTCCAGCCTTCAGTCAAAAGCACCAGAAGAATTAAAAAGAAAAGTCAAACCCATTGAGAGCTGTGAGGGAAGCCAGCTCCTCCCAGCTTTACTGAGCGTTAACAGACTGAACCAGAGGCCGTTTGGCTCCAGTTGACCCTCATTAATAAATCTACTCACCTCATCAGGTAAGAAAACCTCCCTCTAGATTCTGGCCTCAGCCTGGAAAACCCCTGTTACCTGCTTTGGTTTTTACCTTTTACATCCTCTAGATCGGAGGTCTTCAACAGGGGGTCCGCGGACCCCTAGGGGGTCCTGGAGCTACTGCATGGGGGTCGCCAACGTTTTGGTTGATTAGACTTTTTTTTTTGTTATATATATATTCCCCCCACCTGCAATTGTTTCCACTAATGTAAATGTCTTTAAATCCACATGAACATGAGTTCAACAGACTGCAGTAAACAGATAAATGGAGGCAGAAGATGTCTTCCAGTCATTAACGCATCTATCTATCTATCTATCTATCTATCTATCTATCTATCTAT